TATTCTGTTGAAGGAATAATAGTTGGGTTCAGCTATAAAATACAATAAATATTATCAAAATAACAATAGAATGACAGTTTATTAGTCTGCAAACTCTGGAAAATAAGCAGTTGTACCTCTGTGAATTTTTTGATAATGAATGATGTTACTTTTGAAAAAGTGCTTGATTTTTTTTTTTTTTTTATCAGTTTTCAAAATAGTGGGTTGGTTCTTTGGTGTCATCCAAAAAGTGAAAAATAAATATTTGGTTGTAATAAACATATGTATTGATACATACTGGATGTGTTCTGATCCATAACAGTTATGCTCCTTATTGATGATCAAATGCACAAATAATCCCATCTGTGGCTGTTGGGAGATTATTCAAGCTAGTTTCTGAGTCCTGTTGGTTTGACCCTAGTAGTCTTTCAGGTGACTAGGATGTCTGAACCACTGGACCCTACAGGACACCTGCTACTTAAGGCTACTCTCCCAAGACCAGGAGACACAGCAGATCACAGACACAGGGAAACAACCAAAATGAGGGGGAAAAAATGTGTCCGAAATGAAAGAACAGGTCAAAATTCCAGAAAAATAACTAAATGAAATGGAGGAAAGCAATCTACCAGATGCAGAGCTCAAAACACTGGTTATAAGGATGCTCAATGAACTTATGGGAACAACAGGTGAACTTGGTGAGAACTTACACAAAGATATAAGAACAGTAAAAAAATGAAGACTACAGTACCTGACATGAAGACTCCATTAGGTAGAGCCAACAGCAGATTTGATGAAGCAGAAGATCGAATCAGTGATCTGGAAGACAAGGTAGCAGAAAACACTCAATCAGAACAGCAAAAAGAAAAAAGAATTTTAAAAAATGAGGATAGTTTAAGGGACCTCTGGGACATCAGATTACCAACATTTTCATCATAGGGATTCCAGAAGGAGAAGAGAGAGAGCAAGGGATCAAGAACCTATTTGAAGAAATAATGACTGAAAACTTTCCCAACCTGGTGAAAAAAATACACAAGTCCAGGAGGCATGGAGAATACCAGACAAGATGACCCCAAAGAGGCCCACACCAAGAAACATCGTAATTAAAATGTCAAAGGTTAAAGACAGAGAATCTTAAAAGCAGCAAGAGGAAAGCAGTTAGTTACCTACAAGGGCGCTCTGTAAAGATGTTGGCTGATTTCTGAACAGATATTTTGCAGCCCAGAAGGAATTGGCATGAAATATTCAAAGTGATGAAAAGCAAGGACCTACAACCAAGATTACTCTTCCCAGCAAGGCTATCATGTAGAATCTAAAGAGATAAGGAGCTTCCTGGACAAGGAAAAGTGAAAGGAGCTCACCATCAAACTGGTATTACAAGGGGTGTTAAAAGGGACTTCTTTACGAAGAAGAAAAGGTAAAAAGTAAAACAATAAAATGGCAGTAACTACATAACTATCAACAATTTCTTTAAATGTAAAGGGATTAAATGCTGTAATCATAAGACACTGGGTGCACCCGGGCCAGCATGGCTCAGTTGGTTGGATGTCATCTGGTGCACCGAAAGGTTGCTGGTTCAGTTAATTCCTGGTCAGTGTACATGCCTGGGTTATGGGCTCAATCCCCAGTGGGGGTGTGTGCAGGAGGCAGCTGATCGATGCTTTGCGCTTACATTGGTGTTTCTCTCTCTCCCTTCCTCTCTATTGAAAAATTAATAAAAAAAAGTTTTTTCAAAAAAGGCACAGGGTGGCTGGATGGATAAGAAAACAAGACCCTTATAAATGCTGTCTACAAGAAACCCACTTCAGATCCAAAGACACAGACTGGAAGCAAAGGGGTGAAAAAGGTATTTTACGCAAATCTAAACAAAAAAAGGATGGGCAGCAATACCTACATCAGACAAAATAGGCTTTACAACAGACTATGGCGAGGCAAAGAAAAATATTTAGTATACAATAACTAAGATATGGAAGCAACCTAAGTGTCCCTTGATAGATGAAAGAATAAAGAAGCTGTGGTATGTATAAACAATGGAATATTACTCAGCCATAAAAAAGAATGAAATCTTACCGTTTGCAACAACATGGTTGGATCTAGAGGGTATTATGCTGAGTGAAGTAAGTCACACAGAGAAAGACATAGACCATGTGGTTTTACTTATATGTGGAATATAAAAAACAAAAATAAAACGGAAACAAACTCATAGACATAGAGAACATTTTGATGGTTGCCAGGTGGGAGAGGGTTTGGGGGACAGAGTGGAAAAAGTGAAGGGATTAAGAAGCACAAATTAGCAGTTACAGAACAGTCACAAGGATGTAAAGTACAGCACAGGGAATATAGTCAATGATATTGTAATAACTATAGATGCTGCCAGGTGGGTACTAGACTTATCTGGGGGGTCACTTTTTAAAGGGTATGACTGTCTAACCACTATGTTGCACACCTGAAACTAATATAATATTGTGTTACCTGATATTGAAAAGTAAAACAGTGAAATGAAAGAATGGTGAAGATGGTAACTTGTATGTTATGTGTATTTTGCCACAATAAAAAAAAACTTGGAAAAAATGCTTTTATCTTATCACATTTCACACCTCTTTTTCCAGACTCTGGAGCTCATTCAGTGTATGAGGCACGTTCACCGTGCAGCCTCATGGTCAAATGCAGATCAGACCTGCTTCTGTCAGGAAAAACCTGAAATCATTTTCACTTCAAACCACTGTACTGTACACCTGAAACTAATGTAACCAATATAAGTTTGTATACCAACTATAGCTAAATTTTAAAAAATTAAAACTTAACCTGTTAAGATGCATTTTGAGGAAAATTAGTAAAAGAACTGAGAAACAAAATGAGATGCAGTGAGACTGGAACATTGCAGAATAAGTTACTTGATGCCTGCTGTTTGTCGTTCCTTCAACTGCAGGATGAGGCACACGTCTGGGAGATGCGAGAGGAATGAGGGTGGCCTGTGTCCCCCAAGTCAAAATGAGTGTGTTGTGCCCAGTTTGGGGGAATATTCAACTAAGAATTATATAGAAAAGTCAGAAGTACTCTTACTAGTCTTATCAGACATGATTAAAGTCATTTTGTGTATTTAGTGAAAAAGAGGCTTATACTGTTCAAAAACTGATTGCTCAGGAAGTTAGCATATATTAGACACATGCAGTAGGAAAGATGATGGTTGATGTTGAAGCAAACATGTGATGTGATTGGCTAACCAAATCTGAAAAAAAATCACAGTAAACCTATGTTGTAGGCTTGATCTCTTCTGCCTTGAAAAGTTTTGTAGCCCTGGTGTGGGCCAGCCAACTGTGCATTAGAATAAATTTCAAGAAGAAAAATAATGCTTATCTGTAAATAATGGGGGCAGGCTCTAGGTTTGTTCTGCTCTGGGCACCGCCCCAGCCCTCCCCTGGCCCCTTCCAGGCCCTGCTGAGTTCAGAGCCTTCCTCCCTAGGTGGCTTTTCCCAGACCAGTGTTTGGGCTGTCCCACAGCTGTGTGCCTTGAAGTTCTCTTGTTCCTGGGGCAGTGCAGGGTGGGCGAGGAGTTTGTTTTCCTCTGCTTTTTAAAAGGGAAATGCCTTAGGAGACCTGCTCTCTGAGATCTGTGGAAGGTGACGTCTGGAGGCTAATCCCCTTAAAACCAGTGGTTTGTGTGTGCTGTCCCAGCAGCATCAGCTTCTCCTGGGAACTTGTAAAAATGCAAATTCTGAAGCTGCTAATTCCAGCACTGGGGTGTCCAGGTGGCTGATGCCTGCCCATATTTGAGAACCGTGCAGAACTGTGTGGCTGGGGTGGGTTTGCTCTTGACATCATGTCCAGAGGATATAGTGACTCGTTTTGAGTAAACATTAGGCATTTCATTTTTGTGTATTTTGGAACCAGTAGAATCCGTTCGTAGTTTTGTTGAAGAGCACAGAATATGTCCTGCCTGATGCAGGAAGGTCCCTGTTGCCAAGTGAGGAACAACAGCCAGAACCCTCAGTCCAAACAAACAGGCGGTGTCTTTGGGTCCCTGGACAGTCCACCCAGTGGGGGGTGACCTGGGGTCCTCTCCTGGCAGGTGGCCCAGAGTTCTGCAGGCAGCTCTGTGGGTACCTGAGCCAGGGCCAGGGCTGGGAGGCCGGGAGAGGGGCCCTGGCAGTCCCCAGAGCAGGAAGCATGAGGACCACCTTTGTTTTTCTAATCCTCACCGAGGATACTTTTTTTATTGATTTTTAGAGAGATGAAGGGAGACAAAGAGACAGAGAGAAAGAGACGAACATCGATGTGAGAGAGAAACATCGGTCGGTTGCCTCCCTTAAGTGCCCTAACTGGGGATTGAACCCTCAGCCGAGGAATGTGCCCTGACGGGAATCAAACCCTCACCCTTTTGGCATAGGGGATGACGCTCCAACCAGCTGAGCCACCCAACTGGGCAGACCACCTCTTTTGAAGAGAGAACCTGCTCTGTCTTTTTGGCCAGTTCCAGAGTCTCTGTTCTCTGTCTCCCTGAGGTTTGTGAAGCATCCTTTATACCAGGTTCCTTTCTTTCAATTTTGCTTTCACTTCTGAGCCTTTTGAAGTACAGATATGTGGTCTTCTTAAAAATGCAAATTATATCAAATCACTTCCTTAAAATTAAAATTGCAGGACTTCCTGTGCCCTTGGGAAAAAGCCCAGAAGTTTCAGCTGCCCTAACCCTCCCCTGCCTCTGAGTGTCTGAGCTGCCCAGGGCGGTGCAGATGTGGTCACGGGCCTCAGACCAGATGAGGAGTGAGACTCCTGTTTCATTCCATCCATGGTGCTTATACATCAGTGTTGACATTGCTTTCCCCCTACAACTGGAGCATGGCCCCTGCCTGTCCTGCTCTCAGGACGTGTTGAGTGAACTGTTCCTCCCGTGCTCACATAAGCTCCATGAGGACAGGGCCCTGATCGCCCATGTCCCAGGCCTTGTGGAGGCTCAGGAAACACTTCTTATTAATGTTTGGTGCCTTTTCTCTGTTGTTCATTTATGCCTGTATCTTGCATTGTAGTTTGGGGCTGAGTTCCGGAGGTTCTCCTTAGACCGTCAAAAGCCTGGGAAGTTCGAGGACTTCTACCAGCTGGTTGTGCACACCCACCACATCGCCAACACCGAAGTGACCATTGGCTACGCAGACATGCACGGCGACCTGCTGCCCATCAACAACGACGACAACTTCTGCAAGGCAGTCTCAAGTGCGAACCCCCTGCTCAGGGTCTTCATCCAAAAACGAGGTATGGCTGCCTGGGCTTGGCGCGCGTGTGCCAGAGATACAGTGTCAGTTTTGTCTGTCGTCACAGAACCGTGAGAGCCTGTGTTTGCACCAGTGCCAAGAGATGAAAGGAATTCACATTTATTTGGTCAACATTACTTTATTAGAAAGGCTTAAAAATATTTAAACTGCATTTTCCACTTTAAATAGTGTTGACTTCTGATTTTTAAATACCGAGGAAAAGACTAATATTGACACTTGCAGTATTTTAACTGGAAGCAAGTTAATTCAGTAAGAAAAAGCCTTAGTCAGTAACCCAAGAATGAAACTTAAGGTTGCCAGTATGTTTTCCACTGGGTTTTTGGGATTGGAAAAAGATGTTAGCTTTAAATTGTTACTTTGGTTAACTTTAGCTCTGAACGCCTAGTTTTGCTGTGACAACATCAGAGCCACATTTTAGATTTGTTTTCTCTTCACTAAGTTTAGGAGAACCTTAAATTTTCAAAATAATACACCCTTGAACAACACGGGGGTCAAAGGTGCCAACCACCTCACAGTCAAAAATCCATAAAGAACTTTGACTCCCCAGAGTATTGTTTTCCCTGGGCACCTACGGGGGATCAGTTTCAGGACCCCCTGGGGATACCAGACTCTGGGATGCTCAAGTCCCCTCTATAGAATGGCCTAGATCAATGCACACAGCCAACCCCCCCGCATCCATGATTCCCAGCTCAGATCAGACACAGAGCAGGTGTTTACTGAAGGCCATCTGCGTACCGGTGGACCAGCACAGGTTGTCCCCATGTTGTTGTTCAAGGGTCAGCTGTACTGACAGAAAGAACCCCCTGAGGTGACGCTTGACTTTCAGAAAATGGCGTTTTATGGTTGGCTTGGTCATGACTGTCCCTCCTTCCCTAGGGCACCTCCTGTCACATGTGAGCACTGAGCGCCCTCCAGGAGCACAGTGGCGGCGGGGACACCTGCAGCTCACTTGTGTGTGTGCTACTGGGACTTTGATCTTAGCAGGAGGGGAATGTCCTGGTCTCCGTGGCGGGTGGCTTCCTGGTGCAGAGCCTGAGCACAGACTAAAAGTAACAGCCACAGTGTGCTGGGTGGAGGCCCTTGGGGATGCCCGCCTGGTGCTCACTGTGGGCACTAGGCCCTCGGGGATGTGGGCCTGGTGCTCACTGTGGGCAGGTGTCGCTGTCCCTCGCAGGTTGTTCTGAGGTGAGTGGGCAGCACATACACAGCTCAGAGCATGCTGACCAGTGGTCAGTGCTCTGTGAGTGTGAGCTGTTGTGTCCTCTGTGGGTGGTGAGGAGGGAATGCATGGAGAGGGAGCAGCAGGAGACCGCTGACCTCACTCTGGACTGTTCTCTGGTGCAAATCAGAAAGCCCCACATCTGCCTTCTCCCTGCGCCTGGGTATCCTGCTGAATGTAGGAGAAGTCAATGCAGCTCTCATTCCTCGGGTGGCCTGGGGCTGTGACTGTGGCTTCAGGACCTACCTCTGCCTCTGCAGAGCCTGGTTCTGTAGTGGCTGCAGTGTCCTCGCGGCCCCACCACACATCACATGGGCAGGTGTTCACGCCTTGCCTGTCCCCCTGCTTTCTCTGTGCTGGGGTTGCTCCCTGTTCTCAGGGCTGCTTGTTGTCCCACAGCTCTGTCCGCACAGGTCTCACGTTCCCTCATTGGTGTGGGAGGTGAGCAGTGGGTGTGAGGCACCGTGTGGACTGTGGACACACGGGCTTTGTCGTCTGTGGGAGGGGAACGGTCTCTGTGCCTCTGTGTGGGGAGCTGGACTGGGAGTAGGACCCAGGCACTATGTGATGACGAGGCTGGTCCTTGTGACACTTGGCATCCTCGCTGTTGATTCCCCGATGCTGAGTGACACAGGAAGCTCCGGGTCTGCATTTGCAGGTGGGAATGTGCTAACTTGCACGGCTTTGCCTCTCTGATGGCTGAGGTCCTGCATCCTGTCTTCATTATTTACTTTTCCTCCTTCCTGTGGCATCAGAGAAACAGCCCAGAATTTAATGAGCAGGCTTACGGTTCCTACCCCTCTTCTTCTCAGCGTGTGCATGTCACCTACAGCTCTGGCCTTTCTCTGCCATGTGACAGCGAGGAGCTCGGGAAACCTGAGTGCACACTGTCCTTCAGCACCTTCTCCCTGGCTGTGACCAGCGAGCCCTTGTGTCTTCATCTGAAGCACCCACCTTGGGGTGTTTTCAGGCTTAAATAGGAAGATGTTCCCGTGTTCACTGGAGTCAATGTCACTGCACAGGATCAGCAGGATCTGAGACTTTGTTAGCAATAGAAATCACAGATATTTCCATGTTGTGTTAGTTTAGCCAGATATCTTGAATATAGTTTATAGTTAATCATTATTTTAACACAGTGGTAAAGACTGTTATTTAATGTGTTAGTAAGAAAGCACATACAGTCAGCCCTCCATATCTGTGGGTTCTGCATCCATGGGTTCAACCCGCCACAGGTCGGAAATATTCAGGGAAAAATGTTTTGTTTTTTAGGCCTCACTGGTAGCACCTCGCTGAAGTACTACCAGTGAGGCCTGCAGTGTTGCATCTGTACTAAACTGCAGACTTTTCGCCTTGTCATTCCCTAAATAATACAGTGTAACAACTATTTACCCGGCCTTTACACTGCATTAGGAATTGTAAGTAAGCTAGAGATGGTTTCCAGTATATGGAAGGATGTGTGTAGGTTACATGCAAACACTGAACCATCTCATACAAGGGACTTGGGCATCCGTGGATTTTGGTGTCTGATGGGCGTACTGGACCAATTCTCCATGGATATTGTGTCACACATTTGCTTCCGTATTTTGATAATTGTCTTCAAAGTGAGCATTTCCTCTGTAATCCCATGTATTTTACTTTAGGTCTTTAAGAATGCTATTCCTCTAAGGCAGTTCCAAGCGGCATGAGATGGCTGAGGGTTCTGGGGCACTTGGGGTGAGGACCCTGTCGCAGTCAGCATTTAGGAGCTCGGACACAGACCGGGAACCCAGTCAGGGACTTTTACTGAGGACGCTGGGTGGTGTTTCTGCCGTGGGGGTGGAGGACCACCCCTTTGGTTTCCCATCTAGAGGCTCCTTCTGCATTTACTAGACTTCTGCAGCCCTCTGTCCAGGCTGGGCTACTCTTAAGAGCAGTGGGGTTTTCCCTTGGTTAAATAACAGATGCTATTATGCCTTTCACTTTTATGCTTTGCCCATTTTAGCAAGAGAATAAAGTCATAGTGGCAGAATCTGGAGTTGTATTAGCATGTTTGGATCGCAGGCCCAGCCAGTGTTAGGGAGCACTTCTCTCCGTGCCCCGCGGACCCCAGTCGTCCCTGCAAGGACGCTGGCCCAGGCCAGAGAGAATGCAGGACAAGACCAGACGAGATACTTGGCGTGTCTCTTTCTAATTTTAGCAGAATAAACAGGAAGTGCAAACACCCATCAAATAATTACTTCAACTACCAGCATACCCTGTGCTCTTGTTATTTAAGAGATGGGTCCCTTTACCTCTGGGCCCTAGCCCAGGAATAGAGGTAGGATCCTAATTGAATTTCAGTGGCTCTCTGTCCCTGGTGCTCAGCTGTCCAGCTTGTAGGAGGAGGTTGATAAGTCTTCATTAAAGCACAAGACTTTGGAACAATTAGAGCACTCTGAACTGTTTACTTTTAAACTAACCTAAATATAGCACACTTGCATGTATCTGTTGACTGTTCTCTGGCAATTCTTTGGGTTCCTAGAATGAGGAAGACACATTTGTAAACTTTCTGATTTATCAGAAGTCGCATGATTGGGAGCTGGGGCAAGGGGAGGTGTTTGCTTGTGATTTCATTTAAGAGAGTTTGCAGGAAAAGTAATTAAGGGCTGTTCTTCAAAGTAAAATGTGTAGAATTACTGAGAGTTTGGCTTAGAAATTGGCAGAATCTTAAGGTACCGGGAATATAAATCCTGATTATGATGGCTTTTCTTGAATTCCTCATTAAAGGTAGCTAGAGGTGTGTTTGGTTTTAAGTTGGAGGCTCACTGTGTAGCAGGAAGTCCCTTGGGGTGTCTAACTTCGGAGGCTGCCACCACTGAATTTCTGTATCCCTACTGTTTTAGTCTTCCTGACGCTGCTGCGGCTGTCAAGGCTGTTGAGTTGAGGGCAGGGTGAAGGTATAGGTTTGCTGGATTGGGCTCATCCATGTCCCCACGCCCTGGAATCTGGAGCTTGTTTATGAGACATGTCTGCTTCTTTAATTGCCACTGTGTCCTGGAAGTTTGAGTATTTGGAGAATTTCTTTCTTTCTTTTCTTTTCTTTTTTTTAAATTGAAAAAAGGGCAAAACCTCTCCCACTGCCTCCCGTGGGAACATGCAGAAAACAAAATGCCTGACCTGCAACACCCCCCCTCTCTCCCCAGGAGTGGGAGTGATGGGGAGAGAATGTGCTGATGCAGTTCATGAAAAGGAAAACACAGGCCAGCCACCCACTGTCCACAAGAATCCAGGGCTTGTCCTGAGGGCTGGCCTGCAGGCTGTGGCCAGCGAGGTCCACCTGCGTCCTGGGTCTGCCTCTTCCCCTCCAGCCCACCTTATTCTCTGAGACATCCAGCAGCATACCTGGTGTAAAAACGGCCAGTTTACACAATGGAATTGGATTCTACTCTTTTCTTATTTTCCAGTCATCTGTACTTGTACGTTTTCAAACCCATAGTATAATTTAGAATTTGGATTCATGCATTTTAAAAACTTAACATCATAACCATGTCCTATGTCATTAAATTCTTTGTAAAACTTTTTGTTTTTAAAAGTCTTTTCTGTTTATAACATATTTGTAAAAGAAAATTCAAACAATGTGGAAACAATGCTACTGTGTGAGGTGATCACTGTTCCATTTTGATGAGTCCCTCTAGACCCATGGTACAGACACAGTCAGTGGGACCTAGTGTCACACATATGGGGTCCTAGCATATGTCCTGTAGAGATTATTTTAACCTGGCGTTATATTTTTTACTTTCTGT